CAAAAATCCGCCCAAAAATCCCCCAAAATCAGGGATTCACGGACGCCGCCGTGCCTGGTGCCGCCCTCCAAGAGGAGGCACAAGGGCTCCGCAGAGTGACCCCAAAAACCCCAGAAATATCACTGAAAAAACCCCAAAAAAACCCCAAAAACCCACCCAGAAATACCCCAAAAATCCCCCAGAAATAGCCCAAAAATCAACCGAAAATCGCCCAAAATCAGGGATTCTGTGCCTGGTGCCGCCCTCCAAGAGGAGGCACAAGGGCTCCGCAGAGTGACCCCAAAAATCTCATTATAAACCCCAAAAATCCCCCCAGAAATACCCCCAAAAATCAGCTGAAAATCTACCCAGAAATCCCCCAAAAATCAGGGACCCCCAATAAAGGCAGAGCGAGGCTGAAGGATCTGTCCTGAATTTTGGGGTGAGGGGGACAATTTTGGGGATTGGGGCTCATTTTGGGGGGTTTGGGGATCATTTTTGGGGATATTTGGGGCACATTTTGGGGGGATTTGGGGCTCATTTTTGGGGGGATTTGAGGTCCATTTGGGGGGGATTTGGGGTCACTGGGCCCCCTCAGCTGCTGATGGGCCCCGACCTCACCAAGATGGCGTCATGCCCCGTCTAAACCCTTCTCAAAATGGCGACGCAGCTCTTCCGGTCCTCCCAAAGATGGCGACGCCTCCATTTCCTGCCCTTCCCGGAGAGTCAACGACATCGTTTCCGGTCCTTCCCAAGATGGCGACGAAGGCGTTTCCGCCCTTCCCGAAGATGGCGGCCATGTTGTTTACGGTCCTTCACAAGATGGCGGAGAGGATTTTCCTCGCCGCGTTGTTCGGAAACGTCTTGAGCGAGGCTTGGAAGCACACCCGGAAGGACTCGTGGCAATTTTGGGGAGGTTTAGCCACATCCGGGCGTGGTTTTAGCGCATTTTAAACCCGGTTTTTACGCGCATCTCTACTCCGCGACCTTCCCAAAATGGCGGCGACACGTTGTCACCCCATCTAAGATGGCGGCCCCGTCTCTTCCCGCCCTTTTTCCGGCCGGAAGCCGCCTCAGGCCATTTCCGGTTCCTTCCCGCCCTCACGCGGCTCCCTCACGAAATGGCGGCGGCCGAGTCGTTCCTCGCCTTCAACCCCGCGGGCCGGGCCGGAGCCGCCGCCGCCTCCCGGCGCCGCTCCCGCGGGCCCCGCAACCGCAAGAAGGGCTGGAAGCGCTGGAGCGGCCGCGAGGCGCGGCTGGGCCGCGAAATCGGCGATTTCCTGGAGGATGTGGGGCTGCAGGAGCGAGCGGCGGGGTGAGCGGGGCCGTTCAGGGGGTCCGGGGGGGATTGGGGGGGTCTCACTGGGATTTGGGGGGTCCTGAGGGG